CTTTAATCCCTGAGCTTGAGGCAAAAGCAGGTAGATAGATATCTGGGAGTTGGAGGCCAGCCTGGTCTATATCAAGCATAGCAAGTTCCAGGACAGCCAGAGCTACATTACAGAAACTATGCCTCAAAAATAAACAAATTCAAGTTTGAGAACCAGACAAATATCTGAGGGTTTAAGAGTGCTGACTGCTGTTATGCAGGAACTGGGTCAATACCCAGCACCTACATGGAGGCTAACCACCACCTGTAACTTCCAGTCCAGGGGATCCAATACCTTCTTCTGGCCTCTGTGGCACTGGGCTCACACACTTGTAATTTAAAAACTAGTGGGAGAAAGACAACATGCCAACAGAGCTCATATGGAGGGGTTTTTATTAGGGGAAAGGGAATGGGAAAAGGGGGATGGGAGAGGGGAAGACTGAAAGACAGGCAAAGAAGCAGAGAGAAAGAGACAGAAAGATGGGAGGTGGACAGGGTCCTAAAAGGGAATGTACTTAGCACACTCAATGCTCTGGGTTCAGCCTCCAGCACCCAATCAAAAAAACAAAGAAAAGAACTGTGCCTCAAGTAACCCAAAGAAATAAGACTTCATGTTTTTGTTTTGATAATCTATGTATGTAGATCAGGCTAGCCTTGGTCTCTCAAGATCTGACTGCCTGTTTCCCAAATGCTGGGATTAAAAGTATGTGCCTGACTTGTCTTTTGACACAGGGTCTTATCAAGTAGCCCAGCTGATCCTATACTCACCATCCTCCAACTTAGCTTCTTTGTTTCTTTTATTTTTTGACACAGGGTCCCACTATGTAGTTCTTGACATCCTGGAACTCACTATGTAGATCAGGCTGGCCTCAAACTTAGATATATGTGCCCCATCATACTGCTTCTAGGATTAAAAGCATATGCCACCATGCCCAACCTAATTTTTTATTGAGACAGGGTCTCACTATGTTGACCAGGATGGCTTCCCTGGCCTCAAAGTCAAAGATCCGCCTGCCTCTGCCTGTTGCAAAGAACCTTTAATCCTTCATATCAATAGGTACATATTTTTTTAAAAAAATTACAATCTACAACCAGGTACGCTGGCACACACCTTTAATCCTAGCATCTGGGAGACAATGGTGGATCTCTGTGAATTCCAGACCAGCCAGGAGTGTACAGTGAGACCTTGTCTCAAAAAAAAAAAAAGATACAATTTGTCCAAAATAAACCTGCAGATCTAAGATGGCTAATATTTACATAACTACTAATAAGAACAGTGCAGGTTTTTCCACAAATGGATAGGGGGTTGAAGTCCTGAATAGACTAAACATAGACACAGTTGTCATTGTGGGTATTCTGCCAGCACAAGTGTAAAGTTGTTACCAGAAATGAATACCTGACTTCAAGTGGCTTACAGAATGCAACAAATTCATAGCTTTCACTGAATACAAGCCAACTCTTCTCAGAATGACCTAGGTTCTTTTTTTTTTTTTTTTTTAAGAATTTTAAAACAATGAGTTAAAATCATCTATGTGCAAGGCAAGAAAGTAAAAAGTTCATGACAAAGAAAAACAAGATGATTGTTCAGACTGGTCATGAGTAATAACAACATGCAGCAACAGTCCTACTGCATCAAATGATAATGTGGTTTAAAAACTAAATACAATGTAGCATTGGCGAATGTATATAAAAATTATCAGAAGCCAGGCAGTGGTGGCACACACCTTTAATCTCAGCACTCAGAGGCACAGGTCAGCCTGATCTACAAAACAGCCCAGGAAAGCCAGGGCTGTTACACAGCGAAACCCTGTCTTGAGAAACAAACAAACCAGAAGGACAAAATAGTAAAAGCGCTCTTTACTAAGTGGAGTTAAGTAAACTTATTGAACATTCTACGCAGAGTATGATGGCACCTTTAATCCTCGTACTCAAGAGGCAGAAAAGGCAGGCTGGATCTCTGAGTTCCAGGATGGTCAGGACTACACAGACAAACTTTTTCTGTCTTGAAAAACAAAAACCAAGCTAAATGGTCACACCTAAAAAAAAAAAAAAAAAAACCAGAAAGCAGGAGTTATGGCTGTACTGTAATTTGATGGCAGACTCATGATAACCATGTGCCACGGGAAACTGAGGATAGAGAATTATAAGCTTGAGGCAGGGACTCATAAAGCCTGGAGTGGCCTGTAACTTGTTGAGGATGATTTTGACCTGGTCCCCTTCCTATGACTTCCCAACTGCTGGTGGGATTACAGGCCAGCACCACCACTGCAGGTTTATTTCCCAATGGAGAATAGAATCCAGAACTCCATGCATGGTAGACCAACATTCCACAACTGAGCCACATCGACAACCTTGAAATTGACCTGATTGATTATTAAGACAATGAAATAATACATTACAGATAAGAACACAGTACTTCATATGCTTGTTTGGTGAAACTCATTTTAAAGTGTGTACAGTCAGGATCAAAGAAATGAGGCAGGAGGATTGCTTCAAGTCAAGGCCAAACTGAGCTGTGTAATAACTTGACAACATAAACAGAGACCTTGTTTTTAAAAAGGGGATGGAGGAGCTAGAGACATGGTTCAGCAGTTAGGAGCACTGACTGTTCTTCCAGAGGACCAGGGTTCAATTCCCAGAACCCACATGGCAGCTCACAATTGTCTGTGACTCCATTTGCAGGGACCTGACACTCGTGCACATAAAATAAATAAGAAATTTTTTTAAAATGTGTAAAAAAATCTATAAAGAAACAATGCTTAGAGTCTGAAACATCATCCCGAAAGAATGTCAACACTGAGCATAGTAGTGTACGCCTTTACTCCCAGCACATGGGAGGCAGAGGCAAGGGGATCTCTGTGAGTTCCAGGCCAGCCTGGTCTACAGAGAGTTCCAGGAACTGATATACACAAAAAAAGAAAAGGAAAAAAGAAATGAGAAAAAGCTCTGCTTTGGATAGCTCTTTTTTACCAGATGTGGGCTCCATCCTGACATTTTTTTCACTTTTATTTCTTTTTGTTGTTGTTGTTGTTTTGTTTTGTTTTGGTTTTTGGTTTTTCAAGACAGGGTTTCTCTGTGTACCTTTGGAGGCTGTCCTGGCACTCACTCTGTAGACCAGGCTGGTCTTGAACTCCAGAATTCCTCTGCCTCCCAGAGTTCTGGGATTAAAGGTGAGAGCCACCAACGCCCAGCTTTTTTTAAGTTTTTTTTTTGTTTGTTTGTTTTTTGTTTTTTTTTTGAGTCCTGGAATTGAAATCATGAACAGCCACCACCCAGCTAGGTTTTTGTTGTTGTTTTTCTTCTTCTTCTTTTTTTTTTTGACAGGGTTTCTCTGTAGCTTTGGATCCTATCCTGGAATTCAATTTGTAGACCAGGCTGGCCTAGGAACTCAGAGATCCGCCTGCCTCTGCCTCCCAATTGCTGGGATTAAAGGTGTGTGCCCCACCACCAGGCTAGTATTTTCTAATTATACCTGTACCTCAAAAGTTATTCATTATGGTATTTAAATATTTCCACTTGACTCAACATAAAACAGACAGCTAGTAAATGAAAATTACACATTTGTCCAGCCCCCCTGGGAAGTGTGAGCATTATCAACACTAAAGAGACTGCAGATAAAAGAGGAGAGATGGAATCAAAAGCAACAAATAATGACCCAAGAGATAGTAGGGTCTTCTGTTACCAATATCCTAAATACCTCCCAACTGAAGCAGCCTTTTCACCCAAAGTCAGACATCCTCATATGAACAACAGAAAGAGAGCTTAGGAGATCTCGAATGGTAAAAGACCATTAGGGAGGCCGGGCGATGGTGGCACACGCCTTTAATCCTAGCACTTGGGAGGCAGGGGCAGGCGGATCTCTGTGAGTTCCTAGGCCAGCCTGGTCTACAAATTGAATTCCAGGACAGGATCCAAAGCTACAGGGAAACCCTGTCTTGGGAAACAAACAAAAACATTAGGGAGGAAAATGTTCCTGGGAGAAGAGACTCAGGATAAAGAATTGGAGACATGAATGATGGGGAGAAGCACATGGTGACTGGAAACAAGCAAACAAACAAAAGAACCAAATGTGTCCATTTTTTTTATTAAGCCTTTCATTATTCCATTAATGGCAATCACCCCTCAAATATCAGACATACAAACAGGCCTCTACCCCACTGTGTCAATAGAAGCAATACACTTCGACCTGTAGCTCTCGAAAACTTTTTCTGTGGCCATAGAAATACAGATGTGTCCCTGGACACCGGTGGTAGAGGTAAGTCTTTTTCTCGGAAGCTTTCCATTACAATACTTATGTAGCCATTTCAACCTAAAACTTTAATTAAATGTTTTCCTTTAAGAATTTTCAAAAACTAAAGCCTCCCTCCCTAAGTTCTTCAAAATATCAAGTGAAGGGATCTAAAAGAGCAAGAAAAATGCCAAACTAGAGGGGAACAAGAAAACATGCTTTCGTTAAGGTGATGTAGGGAATGATTGCCTCCACTATAGGAGTCATTGTAGATAAAATATGCACCCCTACAATTCCCTCTGAAGGCAAGATGCCTCTCTTTCAAGGAATCTCTCCATTTACTTGATCCAGGTTTGGTCCATGGATTTAACCTCCCGACTCCCGCGCTCCCCACTGGAGTCCAGCCTCTGCCGCTTGGAGAAGGCCGGCCTATCGCGCGCTTGGAGCTCATTGGCTCTGAGAGACGCCACTCGGGCGGGAAAAGCCCGCCTCCCGCATTCGGATGGCCCAAGGGCCGATCCGTAGGCAGCTATAGGAAGACCCAATTGGCCTATACACTCGTCAGTCAAACGCTCTGGTAGCGCAGCCCAAAAGGACCTGGCAGAATTAAAACATCCCGCCCCCGTTCTCCCATTGGCTGGCCCGACCCATCGCGGCCCCTTCACTGTCGCTCCCCCAAGTCCAGCGGGGCCCATTCATTTCGTACAATAACGAGTCCAATTGGAGCGGGTCCAGGAACTCCCACGGTTAGTCAAGACTCTGCCACTTACCCGGGATCTACAGTGACCACTCACACTAAGGCCTGCGCGGTTCCTCTGTGGTAAAGCTGCACCACAAGCCACCCGCTACCGCCGCCTTCTGCGCAACGCCAGCCGCCCGCCAAAACGGATCCTTTCCCTGCGCCTGCGCAACCAATCCTGGGCCCAGACCTTTTCTCCGCCCAAAACGCCTGCGCAAAGCAGGACGCAGCTCCCGCCAGTACGCAGGCGCCTTAGGTTCACCGCCCTCTCCCGCCCGCCGCCCGCCATTTCACGTGTTCAGTAGGCGAGCGGAACTCCTTAGTGCGCCGGCGTAAACTCGCCATTTTTATTACACATGCGCTCTCCGGGCAGTGGCTGCAAAAGTGGTAGCGAACTACTTTTCCTAACGTGTCGTGTTTTGCCAAGTGAGGTTATAATGTTCGGACGCTGGGAAGTTATGCAAGGCGTTTAAAGACATGGGTACATTCAAATATAAACCACTGGTTAGCTAGTCAATCAACCTGGTTAAAAAAAAAATCCCCCAGAGCGTCGATGACTCCGAAGGGCGGAGACTGCGTAGAACGCCCCAGCAGATGCCATCTCTTAGCAGGGCGGATCCACAGACCTAGAGTGGGCGGGAACAATTCCAGATCTCCAATCAGAGTAAGGCCAGGGCGGAGTCTACCAATGCCGAAAGCGAGGAGGCGGGATAAAAAGGCGAGCCGAAGGTAGGCTGGCGGATACGTTCGTTGACTTACTCCTTTCTGCCTGTTGACGCGGCGGAGGAAGCATCGCTGAAGGCTCTCGTTTCCCTGCCGTCATGTCTAAGTCGGAGGTGAGTTGTGCGCGCTCTGCGGCTTCGTTTCCTTCCATACGCAATGAACAGGACGGGATGCGACCTATTTTTCTGGCTGGCACCCATGCTTTCGGTGTTTGATCGGTCGTTGCCGAGGCCTGCTCACAAAGTGCAGGTCGCCATTTTGTCCTCGTAGTCGCCATGAGGCTGCCGTCCGCTAACCGCTAGTTTCCACACTCGGCTCCTAGTGGCAGAATTCACAGATATGCGACCTTGGGGGTTGTGGCTCTTTTTATTTTCTTTCTTGGCTTTGCCTAACTAACGTCTGCTAAGGCTTCAGTAAGTTTTAATGGCGATTGACCAGTCCAGCCCGTGTCTTTTGTTGCGCGTGCGTATAGAGTAGGGACGCATGCGCTGCATGCTAGTCCTCCCCCCCACGCCCCAACAGCACCTCCTGGCCCAGAGAGGAGCACGTGGTCTTGTGCTGTAATAAAGAACAATAAAAAAGTGCGGCCTATGTTGATGCGTGGAGTTGATCCATTCGCTCAAGTTCCAGCCCCTTAGCTAACGGCTCTCCTTTGATCCGATTCAGTCACCCAAGGAGCCGGAACAGCTGCGGAAGCTCTTCATTGGAGGGCTGAGCTTCGAAACAACCGACGAGAGTCTGAGAAGCCATTTTGAGCAATGGGGAACACTCACCGACTGTGTGGTAAGATTAGAAGGAACAAAAGGCGGGGCTGGTTTAATTTTATTGCTTTAATCATGCCGCACTTCTTACCCAGATGCTTTGTGAAGGTAATTAATGGTATAATTTTAAAAGGATCTTTGTTTGGGGGCCTTATGCTTGAGTCTAAATGGAGTTTTATGCTGGACATGTTCAGAGTTGGAATGGCCTCAGGTCCTGATATCAGGCAATATGTTGATTGAATTAACTCTATAAACAGGTAATGAGAGATCCAAATACGAAGCGATCCAGGGGCTTTGGTTTTGTCACGTACGCTACTGTGGAAGAAGTAGATGCCGCTATGAATGCAAGGCCACACAAGGTGGATGGCAGAGTTGTGGAACCTAAGAGAGCTGTTTCAAGAGAAGTGAGTGTTATTATGCTAATAGTTGGGTTCTCTTTTATCTAGACGCCAGATAGACCCCTAGAGTGCTGGGATTAAAGGCGTGGGCCACCACAGCTGCCAATCATTTGAAATGTACTAATAATGACTGCATCATTTTCCTTTTAGGATTCTCAAAGACCAGGGGCCCACTTAACTGTGAAAAAGATCTTTGTTGGTGGTATTAAAGAGGACACTGAAGAACATCACCTTCGTGATTATTTTGAGCAGTATGGGAAGATTGAAGTGATTGAAATCATGACGGACAGAGGCAGTGGGAAAAAAAGAGGGTTTGCTTTTGTCACCTTTGATGACCATGACTCTGTGGACAAGATTGTTAGTAAGTGTCAGATAATTAGATTTCTCTCCTCCTCCTCCCTCCCCCACAAACTGGGAATATTCTGTAGCTTTGGGTCCTTTCCTGGAAATGAGACCCGCCCTCAAACTCAGATGGCCTGTCTCTGCCTCCTGAATGCTGGGATTTATGGGGTGTTCCACCCCCCAGCCAGATTACATTTTTCTTTTGGGTGGATTCGAGACAGGGTTTCTCTGGCTTTAAAGGCTGTCCTGGAACTAGCTCATGTAGACCAGGCTGGTCTGAAGCTCAGAGATCTGCCTGCCTCTGCCTCCTGAGTGCTGGGATTAAAGGCGTGGGCCACCAACACCCATCGTGCTCAGATTTCTTAATGACTGGGATTCAGTGTGTTTAAAGCCCTAAAGTTAACTTTTTTTTTTTAAGTTCAGAAATACCATACTGTGAATGGCCACAACTGTGAAGTGAGAAAAGCCCTGTCAAAGCAAGAGATGGCCAGTGCTTCATCCAGCCAAAGAGGTATCTCTTGCTTAGTTAGAACTTGCAGAGGGTAGTTGGGTTGTTGCTGCAAGTTGGTCTAATGTAATGATCCAAACATCTCTTAAGGTCGAAGTGGTTCCGGAAACTTTGGTGGTGGTCGTGGAGGTGGTTTTGGCGGCAATGACAACTTTGGTCGAGGGGGAAACTTCAGTGGTCGAGGTGTGTACCTTTTGGATTTCTTAATTGCTTTTGGAACGATGGATAACTGCTAGTCTTTGTTTATAGCATTTAGATTTTACCCAAAACATAAGTTTTCGTTACACAGAGATTAGCATTTGCTTCATTCATATACCTAAAGCTCTGGTTTCTTACAGGTGGCTTCGGTGGTAGCCGTGGTGGTGGTGGATATGGTGGCAGTGGGGATGGCTATAATGGATTTGGTAATGACGGTAAGTTTCTTAAGGAATCCGTAAGTAAAATTTCTAGCAACCTATACCTTTAGACTAGGCTAGTAGACACTAAACCTAGTGCATGACAAAATCAACCAGCCCCGTAATACGCATGCTGTGAGCAGGCCATTAGTCACTACACTTGCATAGATTTTTATTGTTAAATACTTTTGTCTTATTGAGAAGGCTTGTATTCTTGTAGGTGGTTATGGAGGAGGCGGCCCTGGTTACTCTGGAGGAAGCAGAGGCTATGGAAGTGGTGGACAGGGTTATGGAAACCAGGGCAGTGGCTATGGCGGGAGTGGCAGCTATGACAGCTATAACAACGGAGGAGGCGGAGGCGGCTTTGGCGGTGGTAGTGGTAGGTATCCAGTGATGCAAGTACTTGGTGTGATAGCTAGATTAGCCTTAGTTTATACTCCTGTGGACTTTAAAGCTCTTAAAGCATTGTGGGTACACTGCATGGTACATTGAAATAGGCTTGCTGTGCTACCTCCTCCTGGCTTTAAGCTGGGGCCGCCTCCCCCAAAGTAAGTAGGTGGATGAGTGAGTGGTTAGTGGTATCCTTAATAGCAGATAGTTAGATTAATGGTATAGCTGGATTTAGTATCTAAGTTCCTTTGAGACTTCAGGCATTTAGTTGATACATCCAAGAAATCTCTGCATTGCCAATGAATGCGTGAAGGCCTTCTTGAGTCTTAAGTGTCGTAAGTACCACTCACAGAGGAAAACTCAGTTTACTGTTGGGTTGAATTGTCTTTAAATGCTGGATTATTAACTGAATGCCTTACTCAGCATGAACTGGATTTTGGAGCTAGCGGTTTTGGAAAAAGGAAGGCATAAATCTTTCAGAACCATAGATAGAGCTGGCTTGCTTCTCAGGTCATAAGGCCTTCTTTCCATTTCTAGGAAGCAATTTTGGAGGTGGTGGAAGCTACAATGATTTTGGCAATTATAACAATCAGTCTTCAAATTTTGGACCAATGAAGGGAGGAAACTTTGGAGGCAGAAGCTCCGGCCCTTATGGTGGTGGAGGCCAATACTTTGCTAAACCACGAAACCAAGGTATAGTATATATATGGCAGGAGGCTGAAAACCTAATTTCCCCCCCCCCCCATCAACCAGATGGGAAGCTTGTCTGTTGAGCACCGAGTATTATTATAGCATTCTTTTAAAACTTTTAGGTGGCTATGGTGGTTCCAGCAGTAGCAGTAGCTATGGCAGTGGCAGGAGGTTCTAATTACAGCTAGGTAAGTACCTGTTCTGTGTGTGTTGACTTAATTTTATAATTGAACCCAGTAACCCTAATTAATGTAGCTGAGCAGTGCAACATAGTTAACATTATAATTGCAGTAAAATGGTGGATGTTAAGTTAATATATACAGTTCAGCAAAATTTGTGGGAAACAACTTGCTCTATTGGATTGTAGCCTTGAGTCTTAATGTGTTTTAGATTAACAACTTTATTCCATATTGTTCAACAGGAAACAAAGCTTAGCAGGAGAGGAGAGCCAGAGAAGTGACAGGGAAGCTACAGGTTACAACAGATTTGTGAACTCAGCCAAGCACAGTGGTGGCAGGGCCTAGCTGCTACAAAGAAGACATGTGTTAGACAATACTCATGTATATGGGCAAAAAACTCCAGGACTGTATTTGTGACTAATTGTATAACAGGTTATTTTAGTTTCTGTTCTGTGGAAAGTGTAAAGCATTCCAACAAAGGGTTTTACTGTAGACCTTTTTTCACCCATGCTGTTGATTGCTAAATGTAATAGTCTGATCATGACGCTGAATAAATGTGTCTTTTTTTTTCTTTTTTTTTTCTTTTTTTTTTTCTTTTCTTTTTTTTAAATGTGCTGTGTAAAGTTAGTCTACTCTGAAGCCATCTTGGTAAACTTCCCCAACAGTGTGAAGTTTAGAATTCCTCCAGGGTGGTGCCAAGTTCCATTTGGGATTTATTTATATTGCTTGGGTGGAGAAGCCATTGTCTTCAAAAACCTTGGTGTAGTTAAACTGCCGGTTATTGTTGTGACTTTAATGAGTTTCACATTAAAAGGGTCATCCAAGCAAAGTCGAAATTTGGTTATAAAATGGTTGTTGGCACACCCTATGCAATATCAATTGAATAATGGTATCAGATAAAAATAACAGATGGGAATGAAGCTTGTGTATCATCCATTATCATGTGTAATCAATAAACGATTTAATTCTCTTGAATGGAATGACAACTGTATGGATTTGGGACTGGCAGAGATTTGGACTTTCCCTACCCAATATAACCCTGGTAAATGTTGATTGTTTGTTATCACAGTGCAAGTTCAAAGCTCTGCCAGAGTAGAAACCAATTACTGGTTAATGCCACCAATAAGTCCACAGCTTAGAAGTGTTGGGCATCTTAAAACTGATAATAGTAAGGACTCTTAATTGCCATAAGAGCAGGCTATAGTGAAGGAAAACTGCAGTTTAACTGGGTCGTGGGTGGGTGTTCCTAAAGGTTTCTAGAAGTGATTGTAAAATGTAAATAGAAATATTATTGACAATACTTCTGTGTAATTTTGTATTAACGGCAGTTTTCCTTCACACTGTTACCCTGAAGTGTTTTCTATTTGTGCAGAAAATTAATTCAAAACAGTTAATATCTAATAATTGTTATTTGTACATAGATCCTTTTGAGCTTCCCATTTGGTGCCCTTTAAAGTGCCATTGTACCTGGTAGCATAGTTGATTTGTTTGCCATAGGACTTGTATATTCCATCTTAAAATGTATTGCTTGGAAGTTTGGGGGAGGGAGGGAGTGGGGGTGGAGGGCTGGGGGTGGGGAGCATGGATGGTAGTTCCATGATACTGGCTGAGTTTGCAATAGCAGGTGGAATCTTAACTATTGAGGGAGTTTGCAGATACCTCAGGAATCGGGACAATGCCTTTAAAGATCCAGGAGATGTTCAGCTACTAGGAACTGCTAGCAAGTATAGCGCGAATGGCTTCGAGCTCAGAAACTCTACAGCTGAGAGTAGACACTTGTGGTATGTGGAGTACAGATAAGCCAACAGAAGGCCACGGCACCTCCATGAAAGCTAGGAGGGAGTTGAAGTTTCAGTGATCATCGCAAGGAAGGAGGCAGACAAGAGTAAGGCACACACCTGACTCTTAGGACTAGCAGGCAGAACCAGAAGGAAAGGTTTTATTGCTATGCTGGTAGGTAAGAACAGATTTTACTTACATCCATAAAAGTCCAATTTTCTGTTGGATTTTTCTTAATATACATATATATATATTGAGCCAAAACTAGTCCAGTTAAGCTGCACTTGGTTTTTCTGGAGATGAATTGTTTTAATTAATGCCCACATTACTCCTTACTTGAAGGAAGTGAACACTTTTCTATTGTGAAGACACAATTTTGGCCCTTTAATTTTATTTAACCTTCCTTTGACCCAATTTCTTAAAGCAGTGGCTCAAAGTAACTTATTAGACACCTTTTCCCCCAAAAAGGGTGGGAGGATGGGTGGGTCATTAACGGGAGGGGGTGGGAATAGCTTACAGATGGGAATTGGTCTCACAAAAGACTAGTTCTGAAGGTTGTTTACTTTTCTAGGGAGGAATCAACTTCGAGGCTTAACCACTACTGTAAGATTTTTTTAAAAAACATCAGAAGTTCTTGGCTAAAAGGTAAGTTTTTGTGGTTGGTGATTTGTTACCCAAATGTTAGAAAGCAAACCTCAATTAAAAACAAGAGATACCTGGTTATTTTTGTAGCTGGCAGAATGTTAGCGGGGAGTGGGGTGGGGACAGTAGATAATGGAATCCGCTGTTTAAAGCTACTTAACTTTTTTCTCCTTTGCAGGAACATCCACATGAGAACAGCCTATTCTGGGCCACTGTACTTCATTCTCACTGCCATGCAGTTGAGTTTTAATATGCTACTATAATCATTCAGTTTTGTGAATGGCTTAGTATTTTTTTTTTTAAAATAAACTGGTTAATTAACTTAATTGATTCTGTTGTCTCCTTTTGTGGAATTAGTGACTTCTATAGTCTGTGTAAATTCCAAATTTGAGGTGGGGAATGTAGATGTCAGTGAATTATAGTTGTAAGCTAAAATTTCAGGTTTTGATTTTATTTAGGAAGTGGGATTTAAGTGTTGTGGAGATGACTAGGTTGGGTGCTGCATACAGTAAATCCCAATTTAGGAATACTGAGAGGCAGCTTGTGTCCAGCCCAGATGAGGCTATGTTGAGACTCCTATAAGATTTAGATTGTTTCTCTAGGTGACACTAATGTGAAAGGTATCCTTGGCTGGTCTGAAATCATACACCCAGATAATGAGAGATAAATACAGAAAATCGGGGGCAACCCTTTACCTCTTGGTGCTGGGAATGTAGGCTTGGGCAGCTATTTGGTTGGAATTGGGTGCTTTTCCAATCACAGCTTACACCTGGAGGTTTTTAATCATTTACTGCCTTTACTAACAGGAAAAATTGATAGGATAAATGTTGGAATGAAAATTCACACTTACAGATCTTAAAATGTTTCTAACCTGGCATTTGTCAACTCAGCCTAGCAAATTTTCATTCTGTGTAAGCCCATGGGGATGGACGTCAGCAGCACACACCTTTAATCCCAGCAGAGGCAGGCAGGTCTCACTTAAACTAAACTCAGGGTTTCCCTTCAAGCAGTGATTTCTGAGATATCTCCATCACACTCAAGAAAGAAGACAATGGAAAGCTTATTTCCACACAGCTCTTTATGAACCAAAGCTTAGAGAAGAGGTGGAGATTTGGGGCCTGAGAAGCCAGCACTCCCTGGCCTCTAGGCTAACCTCACTGAACATACCTTGGGACATCCAAATGCTAAGGTTGCATCTGCCCTCTTGGTCTGAAGAATGCAGTGCCTTATGGGTCCTGGGGCTGGGGAGTACCTTTATCAGAAGGGAATGTGGGGGCGGCCCTAGCACCATTGTCAGTCTCCTCTAAGCCAGCTCAATCGGTGGTCTCCATCTTGGTCCCACGGGGCACCAGAAAGATGGCCCCATCAGCAGCCTGTTGCAGTACATATTCCTCCGGTGAATAACTGTTGCCAGATTCATCCCGAAGATGTTGGAAAATGTCATGGTACAACTCTGCCAACTGTTGGCGCATGACCTCCAGAGTGCGGTCGGCTTCGCCTCGGGCTCTGAGAAGCCGCTCTCTTTCACTACCCAGCCGCTCCAGCTCCCTCTCTAGCTGCACAATGGTTTCCAGTTTTCTCTTGCGACAATTCTGGGCTGCCACCTTGTTCTTGCCCCGCCGTCGGATGTCCCGAACTAGAGCCAACTGGCTCTCTGTTAGCGGGTACTGCGCCAACAGCTCATTAAAGTCATCTACAGGCAAGTTGACAATCTTGTCCGTAGGGAAAGGAATCTTCATGGCCATGGCGCGCCGCTCATCCCGACTCCCCGCCTCTCCCCTAACAGCAGGCTTAGCCCGCACAGGGCCAGAGGATGACTCTAAGCCCAAGGGGTTCTCAGTGGGTGGCAAAGTATAGTTAGGGTGGGCCAAGGAGTTGGGCATATGGGAGTAAGGGTACTCCACCGGGTACATGTCCACATACTCGCTCCTCCGCCTGCCAGCCTCTGCACCCTCTAGCTCAAGAGATTCTGCATCACTGTAGTTGAGGGATAATCCTGAGTCGGATTCTGGGTCTTCTTGGGGCTTGGGTGCCCCCACTGGTAGCCCAATGTCCAGGAGAGCTAAGGGGTCCGGGAGGGGCTCATTGAGCAGGCCTGAAAGGGTGAGTGGCTTTGACACTGGTATAGCCATGTTGCCATAGGAGTATGGGAGGTCTGGGACATGGGGAGTAGATGCTGCTGGCAGCTCATAAGGTGGTAGGGGCAGGGAAAAGCCTGCATCTGGGTGAACTGAACAGGGGCAGTATGTTGGAGGTGGCAGTGGTCCAGCATATGGGGTGGGTGCTTGGGGCTCAAAGGATGGCTCACTTGGAACATTTAGACCCTGCAAAGAAAGACATGACAAAGGTTAGAAGATAGACTGTGATCTCCATGTGATAGAGCATAGATTAATACTTAATAAATGGGTTAATTTAAATTATAAGAGCTAGTTAGGAAGCTGGGCGGTGGTGTCTCAAACCTTTAATCCCAGAATTTGGAAGGCAGAGGCAGGCAGATCTCTGAGTTCAAGACCAGCCTGATCTACAAGAGATAGTTCCAGGACAGCCTCCAAAACCACAGAGAAACCCTACTCCAGAAAAAAAAACAAACTTGTTAGCCAGGCGTTGGTGGCTAACGCCTTTAAATCCCAGCACTCAGGAGGCAGAGGCAGGCACTGACTGCTCTTCCAAAGGACCCAAGTTCAATTCCCAGCAACCACATGGCAGCTCACAACTGTCTGTAAATCCAAGATCTGACACCCTCACATGGACATACATCCAGGCAAAACACCAATGCAAATAAAATATAAGTTATTAAAAAAAAAAAAAAGGAAAGAAAGCAGCATGGTGGCATAGGCTTATAATAGCATTTGAGATGTAGAAACAGGAGGGTCATGAGTTTAATGACAGTCTTGGCTACATAAAAAGTACAAGGCCAGTGTGGGCTGTGTGAGACCCTGTTTCAAAAATCAAGAAAGGGGCTGGAGAATTGGCTCAGCAGTTAAGAACTGCTCTTCCAGAGGACCCAAGTTCAATTCTCAGTACCCATATGGCAGCTCATAACTCTCTAACTCCAGTTCCAGGGGATCCAACACCTTCACACAGACATACATGCAGGAAGAACAGGAATGTACATGAGATTTAAAAAAAAAAAAAATCAAGAGGCCTTTAATCCAAGCATTCAAGGGGCAGGTGTATCTCTCTTGAGTTCAAGACCATCCTGGTATACATAGCAAACTCCAGGGCTACCTAGCCAGAATCTGGGCATGGTGGCACACATCATTCATCTTAGCACTGGGGAGGCAGAAGCTGCTAAATCTCTGAGTTCGAGGCCAGCCTGGTCTACAGAGTGAGTTCCAGGACAGCCAGTGCTACACAGAGAAACCCTGTCTCCAAAAACAAAAAGAAAAAAAAAAGAGAGAGAGAGGAAGAAAAGCAGTTTGTTTTTGTTTTGTTTGTTTTTTGAGACAGGGTTTGTCTGTATTGCTTTGGGGCCTATCCTGGCACTTGCTCTGTAGACCAGGCTGGCCTTGAACTCACAGAGATCTGCCTGCCTCTGTCTCCCGAGTGCTGGGATCAAAGGCGAGCGCCACCAACGCCCAGCTGAAGAGCAATTTAGTAGGAATAAAAGTCACTGTGAGACCTCAGAGAAGATAACTTTGCACTGAAATGGGTTCAGAGTCTCCTTCTAAGGAGAAACTCTTACTGGGCCAAATAGCTCCTGTTCCTTCACTCTCTTTAGGAAGACAAGGCCATTATTACCCAAGATGGACCCTCAGAATCCTTTTCCTGCTATGGTTAGGTAGGGTCAAAGGGTCAAGTTCAAGGTCTCGCCATTCGCTGGGTGCCCAGCAGAGGGAGCTGGTGTGTGGGAGGAGGGTCTAGGGCAGAACCTGAGGACACCAGGCCTGGGGGGGGGGGGCAGGCACAGAGGCCAGGCTGGGGGTTAGCCCTCTGTCCAGGTGCAGTGAGGAGGAGAACACATGTTACAAACAAGGCCCCCAACTTACGTAGGAGAGCTATCCTGCTCAAGCCTAGCTGAGGACAAAGACATCATTGTTAGACCAACAGACACCCCTTTGTCCAACATTCAAGAGAGGACCCCGGCATAGTCTGTCTCCCCTTTCTGAGGCCCTTTAACTAAGGCTCTGCTACCTGGAGTAAGGAGCTGGTTGCTAAGGGTGAGGGGTGGCAATGAGGGAAGACAGGCAGTGCTGGAAGAGAGGCTGATCAGATGAGAAGGAAATAAAGAGAGGGGCAGAGAAGAGGGTTGTAGAAATGTGAGCAGAGCAGCTGGGCAGGAGCCCACATCCCCAACCAAATCCTTCCCTTCCCCCTCTCCTCCGTGTTCCTCATTGCCGCCCCCACACCCACACCCACACACAAACTCTGTTTCTGACCAGGCCAGAGCCCCTACCTCTGCAGTGCCCACCCCATACTCACCTGCAGCTCAGTAATGGACATGATCTCTTGCCAAGTCAATTCCATCTCGCCCAGCTCCCCAACAGGCAGCTGTGACAACCTGTCCCTGTTCTGCTGAGGAGGACACGGGGGCATCCTACTGTGCCAGCTTCTGGCCCTAGTTCCTCCAAAGCTCAGAGGGCTCCAGCAACCTGTGTGGACGGAAGGAAGGGTTAGAGCTGCTGCTGTCAGATTGAAAGTTTGTCCCATCCCTGTGCAGAATCCCCAGAAGAAAGGAGCAATGCCAGTGGTTCACTCATGCCAGGACCACCAACATCCTATGAACTGTAAAGTTCTTTTCTGTGGCATACTCTCTACCTCACCTGCTCTGGCCATAGTCACTCCTCTGGGCACACAGTAGGTATCTTTACTTTTTCTCAGACAAGATATCTTCTCTTACTCCCTAAAAATGGTATTCCTGTCCAGAGGCAAAATTCAGTCTTCTGAGGTTTTATGGTTGAGGTTTTGTTTTCCATTCTGGGAGAAAACATCAAGAGTCACCCATGCCTTCCTCTTGGGTCCTCAGTTTTGTTGTTTGAAACAGGATCTTACTATGTAGCCCTGGCTGTCCTGGAACTAGCTCTGGAGACCAGGCTGGCCTCTAAATCACAGAGACCTGCCTGCCTCTGCCTCCAGAGTGTTGGAATTAGAGGTGTGCGCCACCACGCCTAGCATTTCAGTTCTTTCCTTTCTTCCCAAGATGTGAGTGAATGCTCTGCTCGGGGATCCCCAAGCAGTGTGTTGTGGAAAGTGCAGGCAGACAGCCCCTCCCCTTGTCTTAGATAGGGCCCAGGCCTGCTGGTGATAGCAGCCCTGCCCTCTACTCCCATCCTTACTCTGGGCTACTCTGCCTGAGCCAGATAAGAGGCTTATCAGCTGCAGGCAGCAGAGGCAGAGGAGGAATGGGCTCCAGGAGACACTGGACCTCTACCCTGTATCCCAACCAGGTCATTTGGCCATGCCCCACCCCACATGACCATGACTCCTTTCTCTTCCAAGGTCAACATACAGCAAAGACTTAGCAAGTAAGTCAAAAATTGTGCTGGGCTTCATAAAGACCTTGTAAGGGATAGAAGGCAGATACTGAAGCCCAAGCTGGTAGGTGACAGGTTGGAACCTGATCATATCCCTTGCTGCTTTCTAGGCCCCCTTTGGTTCCCAAGGTTCCTCTTCTTTTAATCTGGGCTATAACTTCAGTTCTGCCCCAAGACAGCAGTGTGGTAGTTGGGCAAGCCATCTCACTGCTCCTGATCAGTTCTCCCAGTTGTAAAGTCAGGGAGTTAGACAACTTGAACTGGAAGAATCCCTTGCTGCTTGGACAGTTCTCTGCAAAGTCTTACCCTTGCTTTCATCATCTCCTCTGGGTCCCTACCTCCATATTCTTTGATTCCCATCTCTATCTGAATCTGTTCTCTTTGTGTCCAACAATAGATTCCAAGTAGACTTGTCAAGGTTCCCCTGATCTCTCAGGGACAGACATAGCATAGCATGTGCATGCAAGCACACCTACAGTGCACACCATACAAATAAAGGAAACCTTACAGAAGAACAGAGGATGATGGGACTGGAGGAACTCAAGAAAATTGTATTATATGATTTTACATCACCCAACACAAGAAGAGCCCATTCCTGCTATTCATTATGGAATCCCCTCTTGTACCTACCACAAAATGTATAGTCACTACCAAGTGTCCTTTTCACAGGTGATCTGCCTGAGGCCCTGCCTCCACCCTCTTGCTATAATGCCATCCCCAGACATGGGAGTTGGTATAGGCACAGTCCTTTGACCAATGGGTAGAATGGGTGGGGTGTTTATGTCTGTCCAGGATGCCATTTCAACACCGGAACTCCACCCTCCCCACCCAGGTTCTGGCGGAAATTGCCCAAAGGCAGAGTGAATGGAGAAGGACTTTGGGGGGTGGGTGTGCAGGGACTATGACTATTGCCTCATAGTTCTTCACACACTCTACCTCTCTTTGCCTCTCCTGTCTTTCTGAGTAAGAATCTGCGGTGCAAGACAAGATCTTGCCCTAGAAGGCAAGATTCTCTACTCTTCAAGATGCATGACCTTGGACAAATTGCATCACAGTCTCCAATTAAATGGAATCAGGACTAGAGAACCTTACTGCTCTAAGAAGGAACAGACTGCATCTAGTCAGAGCCACAAATCTTACTGTGTACCACGTTCCCACCTGGGGTATATGGAAAACATTCCTGAAGGCCATTCAGGCCTGCTGAACTGAATTCATATACAGACTCCTAAGAACAAGCATTTCAACAAATGCCCTAGACATTTTCACACATGGGCCAATCTTGCCTCAAGAAACACAGTTAGATGAATTTACAAGAAAGAACACAAAGTTAGAAAAGGAATAACAAATGTTCTATAGTCTTCACTTAACTGCAAACACTTGACCCTAACTAAGCAAGGCTAGACTCCAGGTGGTACCTAGCTATCAGTCCTTTCCCATGAAGACCTGGAGGTGGGGCTTCTCCCTCTTCTTGGGATTAAAAAATAATAATAATAAATGAGAGATTAGAGGGGGCAGGAAGAGACTGGAGGCTGAGCAGAGGTTCATAAAGGAAACTACTGGACCATCATTTACATCAGGCATAGGTCCTTTGGGTCTTGGGAACCTGCCTTTCAGAGGACCAGGAAGCTTGCAGCCAGTAAGAGCCAGACAAGATCAAATAGAACACCAAAGAGGGTACTGAAAAGAAACAGAGAATGTAGGCTAGGTTTCCGGGGGCTCTTGTATTTAGCAAAAGCAGCTCTTGTTTTTACAGTTTAGCCCTCATCTTCAGGCCATACAATCATTGAATCCACTGGGCTGGTTGTTCACTTTAGTTCTCGGCACTGTGGATGAGGTAGAATTTGAACCAAACACAGAAACTAACCTCCATCCTTCCATCCCCTTTCATCCTGGTGGTGCTACCTACTTTCCTCTTTGTTTCCCCTTCTCTCTTCTTCGCTCCCCACACGCTCTCTCCCTCCTGGCTTCCCTCCAGACCAACCCAGAGCCTTGAATATGCCAGGTTAGCACTCTATCACTAAGCTACATCCCTAGAATTCTCCAAAGATCTTCTCATGATCCCTAGAACTTCACAGACATATGAAGCTTTCTGACTAAGGATACGGGATAATTAGGAGAGGTGAGAAAGGAAGACATTCACCTTCCACTGCTAGCCCAGGACTTTTAACTTCTTTGCGAGGGAGCTTGCCCCAGGGTGCTTTATGGAGGCTTACTAAGTTACTCCACCTCTCCTGGTGTCAACACAAACAATGGAAGGATTGGGGAGCTGTGAGTAAAATTTGGTGTGTAGATTAGCAGGTAAGCAACCTAGTTACAAAGATCAAGGAGAACTTCCCAAAAAGGGAGAGGCACACAGAGGTGAAATAGAGAAACCAATAGAATGAAGAGGGAAGAAAAAAAAAAAAAAAAAGATTTGAGCCAGGAAAGCTAAGTCCTCTGGGTGCATACATGACTCAGATGATGCTTGGGAACAAATTTCTGCTCTCCTATGACTTTATCACTAGAACCCTGGCTCTTTGGAAGCAATGAGTACAGGCTGTAGCCCAGCCGATCAGGTAGCTGTCTCTCTCCCACAGCATCTCAAACTCCAGCTACAAGCAGCCAAGAATTCACACAGAAGCACCTACACTGGGGTTGGACAACCTCCTCTTAGATCCAGCTTAGCTCCACTGCCCCAGGACTGGAGAGGAAGAGAAGCAACCGGCAAGAACTCAGATCCCCTCAGCCAACCACCGCACCTTTGCTGTAGCAAGGCTTCTCAGAAGTTCAGATATCCAATATCTATTTATAGTTCCTAAGCTTCCCCCAATTCTGATGGCTGGAGCTGCAGGAGCAGTGGGGAAGGGGGCATGGCACCCTATTACTGGAGCTTACTAGCTCCCTCAGACAACAGGCCAATGGAAGGGTTCCTTCTGGTTACTCCCCGCTCCTCCAGGGAGCCTCGAGAAAGCACTGTGTGCTCCCCATCCATAACCTCCCACTACAAGGATCCCAGAACAGCCAGGAAGCCATCCAAAGTTATCTCCAAAGTATCTCCAAGTACTATTATTCCAAAATTATCAGTTTCCTACACCAGGGCCAGTCTAAGAAGATGTCTCGAAACATCCAGACAAAAAGTTAGGTATTCCCCCCTGTATCTCCTCCACCTGCCTAGCCTGCCCTCCTCAGATGCCACTGAGGGTTCCCTCCACCCACCCCACCCCCCACTGGCTTTTCAGGCACCTGTGGCGAATTCCAAGCCGGGAGAGGAGACAGATGAGGCTGCGGGTAGTGTCCCTGGGAGGCTAGGTCAGAGCTGACACCTCCGGTGCGCTGAGCGCTGCCTCTGAGCGCCGCCAAGGGCCGAGCCCCGCCCCCGGGCCATAGCTGGGCAAGGAGCACCGGTTGGCCCCGGTAGCTGGTGCACCGGCGATCTCTCCGAAGCCCTCGGCCGGAGTTAGCAGTGCTTCCTCTAACCCTTCCCTTTCCCCGTGGCCCTCCTCTCCTCCTGCCCCTTCTGGCCAAGAGAGGAAATTTGAGCCCGGTGTGGTTTCTGCCTGCACCCCGCCCCCCGCCTCTCTAGGGCCACGGGGCACCCGGGGCTCACAGGTTCCTGGCCCTCTCCAGTGAATCCAGGACTGTGCGCTCCCTGCCGGGCTGACTGATACTCCATTCACAAGTGACCCCTAAGCTTAAAACACAGTCATCAGCCTGCTCTTTTTCCCTGGGACAGATAGGGAAACTGAGTCATAGCAAAGCAGACGGCAGCAGACAGGACCAGGTGTCTGAGTTCAATTTGTTTTGAGCAATAACCTCCACTACTAGAAAGCCAGGGATCTAAGAGAGTTATTTTGGGGCTGGGGGCATGCTGGCTGCTTAGGGGCTTCCTTTAGCGTGTAGCCTCTCTCTCCACCTCCCACTCCCCAGCCTCAGATGCTCTAGGACAAGGCTTCTTTTTGGCCATGTTTATTTATTTATTTATTTATTTATTTATTGCCAATTGTATGGGGGTTGTGGGGGAGTGTCCTTAGGTGGTAGACTGTCCTGACAGTTGATTATTAGTCTCCTTAAAGGGATCCTTCTTTCTTCCAGGCCAGGACACATGTGTGAGTCAGATTCGTCTCCGAATACACAGCAG